ATGAGTGTAGCCTTTTAACCAGAAACCTCAGGCTTTAAGTCCCAGCACCAGCATTGGCACACCCCAGTCAAACCCCCCAGCTTTGGCTACAGCCATCACCCAATGTCTCTGAGGAAGGCTTAAAAACACCATGACATGTATTGGAAAGGAGGAAAGGGGGCAACCAGCACAGCCCAGGAGTATGACAAATACCCTTAGCAGAACATAAGGCCTATTATCATCCCCAACCAGTGGCTGTCTGATGTCTTTCTGAACACCTCCAGTGATGGAGAATCCACAACTTCCCCGGACCATCTATTCCACTGCCAGTGAAGAAGTTTTTCTTGACATCAATCCTAAATATACTTTGCTGCAACTTCAAGCCATTGCTCCATGTCCTACTGACAAAGTAACTAGCTGGATGGAGGAAAAGAATGCTGTGGATATAATGAATCTAGACTTAAAGTTGGCTGCATACGCACATTCCAGTAATCTGGGAGAATTCTCCCAGGTTTGTTCTCCTGATAGAGAAACTTACCTAGAAACTTGTCTCAGAAAAGAACATAGTCCTCATTACACTTCCCTCCCCTGACTCTCCTGGGGGACAGTGTGTTGCTTGCTAGATTCTGCTGTTCCAGCAGAACACATCCCCTTCACAATCTCATATTGTGCTTCAGGGAAACACAGGCTGACCATGGGCAGTCTGGATCAACTAGTCATGGCTGCCCTATGTCATCTGTTGCCAACAGACTAAAGGAGCCTGCAAAGTACACTGAGATATGTGCACAGGGCACCTGCCTGGCTGCACAGTGTCAGAACCTCAAGCTCTTTGGGGCCTCAGCATTCAAATGTCTGTACACACAGACCATAGCATGTACAGATATCTGCTCTCCCAGGAGAAACTCTCTTGTGATTTAATCTTGGCTGTTCCCAGGTTATTTTTCTCTTGGAGTGGCTGTTTTAATTTTGGGGAAAAAAAGTCTGAACATCTGAAAAAGCCCAAGAGTTGCTGCTTTCCCAGGAGAAACTGAATGTCTATACAAGGCTATTAGTGAAATCTTTCCCAATTATGCAGTTAGTTCAATAAGATACCATCCACAAAAATCCTTGCTTCTTTCATGCAGTAGTTTTAAGCATTTTCTAATTTAGTAGAGGCTGAATAGAATTTTGTGCTATAAAGAACAACCATTTCTACATCTAAAGCCTAACTCTTTCCCCAAATATAAATGATTTTCTGCAAATGATAGAAGTGTCAGAACTTCTCAAAATACAAGTCACAAGAATCCATAAATAGAAATCTTTAAATGTCTTCACTACCAGCTACCCTATACGTAGGATGCAAATTCTAAGGTTAATCAGGGTCTGACTACCAGTTTTTTGCACAGAGATGGGATGACAAAAGCCTGCCCAGCCAAATCCAAATCGCATATGTATATGTATGTAATTATTAGGGGTGTATGAAGCGGGCCGTATGCGATTTGGATTTGGCTGGGCAAATCCTTTGCTGTCACCGTGCTCCAGGGATTATCAGAAACCTTGTGTGGGCAGGCCTCTGCCTGCCTCCTTCTCAGGGTCACACCCTCAGGGTTCCTCCAGCAAGTTTCACAATACTTGCCTGCTGGGATGTTCAGCCACTCCTCTCTCTGCAGCTTGCAGGGAATTGACCCCTCTCTGCCCCTCTCTGGGGCTGGAAATACCTCAGAGCAGCCTCCCTCCTCCAATCCGGAGCAAGATGCTGCTCCAGAAGTGTAGCAATTGCTTCTTTTCCCTTCCGGTCTCCAGCTGCAGCCCCCTTGGCTCTCCATGCTTTAAGTGTTGCTTGTTTTCACTTTCCCTGTCTGGTGCTTCTGGCTGCTTTTCTTTTCCTGACCTCCCCTGCCCAGCATGTAAGGCACCTTGGGGCTTTTGTTTGCAATCTCTCACTCCTTCACAATAGTCTAATATTCTAAAAGCCTAAATCTATCTGTCTGTCTGTAATGCTTTAGTTGTGCTAGGACTGGCTGCCTGGGCCCAATGCGGGGGGAGGGGAGCAGGCCTGGGCCCAACGTGGGTGGGAGGGGAGTGGGTCCGGGCCCAATGTGGGGAAGGGAATGGGCCTGAGTGGGTAAAAAGCTGACCCACCACAGTGGGGCAGGACAACAGCAGGCTCAGCCCAACGTGGCTGCAGCAGCATTAGCGGCTGGGGGAGGGAAGGAGCAGGCCTCCTCCCCACCTCAGGCCTGGGCCCACTCCTCCCCCACTCCCATACCTGAGTGGGCCTGACGTGGTGGGGAGGAGCCTTAGCTGAGGGAAAAGCCAGCCTGCTGCGGCAGTGGGGGAACCAGACAGTGGGCCCGACCCGAGCCAACACAGCAGCTACGGGGAGAAGGGAGGAGTGAGCCTCTTTCCCCCCATCAGGCCTGGGCCCACTCCTCCCCCATACCCCCCTGCCGCTGTGGCCCAGCTTCTTCCTGCCCTTGGGCCCGGTCCTCCCCAGCACTGGGCCCAGGCCCAGGCCCAGGCCCAGTCCTCCCTTTCACCCACTGCTGCGGCAGGGAGCAGGGGGAGTGGGCCCAGACCCCAAGCAGCAGGAGGGAAGGGGGAGCAGGTGTGGACGGGGGGGGCCCTGGGACTCTGTCCCCACCCACTTCTCCCCCCGCCATCATTCTTGACGGGCAATTGGCTATTTTATATATATATATATATATATATATATATATATATATAAGCAAGAAGGGCACATGCTGAGATATAGATATATATATATATCTCAGCGTGATATATATATATATCAGCTTCTCACTTCGAAAATCCATTCATGCACCACCTTGGCACAGGTGCCTGATGATGGATGCAGCGATGCTTCATGTGACCTCTGGTAGGGACCTCGGTCTCTTCAGGGAATACCGCAGAACTCGCCTGCCATGTCTTTGAATGTAACCTCAGTGGTGGGGTCTCGTTGGAGTTCCCTCAGGATCAGTTGTTCTTCCTGATGGATATTCAAGGGGCTCTACCTCCCCTACACCTGTTCCATATGCCAGCCTGGGCCACCTGCTGTCAATGCGGCGTGCCCTCCAGTCTTGATGGTTTTTCCTCGTCATTCTCTCTCAGGTACCTGGTCCTATTTTCTTCTGCCCAATGGACTTCGGGTCTGTAGGACGTTAGCCTCTTCTCCAGCTCTTCCCCTCATGCTCGATGCTGCTGACACCCAATTCCTGTGAGCGGCCCTTGTGGCTCATTTTGTCCTCCTGATGTCGCGGCTCCAGGTTACCGCTCAAAGCAAGACCAAAAAGAAAATGAAATGAAAAGAACAACACGGTGTAGTACACCAGAAAACACGACACAACAAAAATAAAAAGGAGGGCAGGTGGAAAAGAGGGAGATCAGAGCACACAGTCCTTCTCCTCTCCCTGTCCTGAAGCCAATGCCTGGCTGCGTCCCCCAATGCTGCTCCCCCCTCTGTCTCCAGTGGGAGCTCCCTTTGCTCCTCTCCCGGTCATCTCCCCTCCTACTGCCTTATGCAGCTGGAGCATGGGGTGTGCAGCCTGTGAGGACTTTGGGCATCCGCTGCTGCCTGGATCATCCTTCCCCGATCGGGGTCTCCTTCAACTTGCTGGTGCTGCCTGCTGCCGGTGTGGAGAGCAGCCACAGACTCCGCTGCATCTCCCACTCTCCCCGTCTCCTTGTTAGTGCCAGCTTTTAACTCAGCTGGCTGGTGTGTGTCCATGACATCACCTGCTGGCTTCAGCTGTATATGAACATGGCTGATGAACCGCGTGGGCTTTTCTCCTTGGGATTGTTCTGTCAGACAACCTGGGATTGATAAGTAATTTCTGATTTTGGGGTCTCTCCTCTCGGTTTGCCCCACCCCCTTATTTGTGTCCCTGGGACACAGTGTAAGCAGTATTTATTCATTCATTCATGAGCAATTCTAACAATTTTTTCACTTTTTGCCTTTTAAGTGATCATGTGAATAGCAGTGTGAAGCTTGATGATTTTCTGAATTATTGCTATTATTGGTGATCCATTGTTTATTTTTCATTTTAGGAGCCAGCAACTAGGAAGAATGGCCTTTATCGGCATAGCTAAAAGAGAAGATTCCATTTATGCTTTCCAAAATAGACATGTACCCATGGAATTGATTTTGTACTTAAGGCCAGAACATAAATGTTTAAGTTTTTAAATTTTGATTCTATTCGTCAATACATACTGTAGTTTTCCCTTTGTAGAAAACACTACATAAGAAAGTTGCATCATTAGGAATAAGAGCTTTGCAAATAATTCACTTTTATGATTCATTCTGTTACTTCATATAAGGAAAAGTAGTCAGAACTAATTTAACATGCAATGAAATTTACTAAGTGTAATTTTTTATGCTAGTTCTTGGGTTTTTCATTTATGTAGCTGATATTATACCTTTGTAGCTAGCAATTTTTTCTGTGAGGGAAAATATCTTTGGAGTACATTAACATTAGTTTTTAGGCTCCTTGCATCAACAGTAGTCCAGACTTTCAGTTTTGAGTGGTTTAAAGATGACTTTGAAAGACCTGAGTTGGGGAAGCTGGCCTGGACTTTTCTAGTTCATTTTTTGCATGGTGGAATTCTTATAAGGTAAATGCCAATTTTTAAATATTAAGACAAGAAATCATACTGCTTTTTACATGCTTTGCTTTGGAACTGCCAGGGTCAGTTTATGAAGGCAATGCAGCTTCAGGACCAAAATCACTGTTAGTGACAGAAAACACAGCTCTGCTTAAGAAAATGTCCCAGTTGTGAATTTGTCCTCCTCCCTTTTGATATAACTGTACTCATTTTATTTTGCTTATCAGTTATTTTATCTGCAACTGTAATCCAATTGCATTTGACACAATGCTCTTTATACAAGAGATACTAATATATATATTATATATACACACACACACACACACACACAGAGAGAGAGAGAGAAAGAGAGAGAGAGAGAGAGAAAGTCATTATATAACTGGAAAAAAAAATTATACTAGGTCATATTTGGAAAGAATTTGATTTGTATCACTAGTTGGGTTAGCTATGATGAAAGTGAAATCCACAAATATTGAAAGTCTAATGTTGTAGCTAAAAAGAAAGCCAAGACTGGAAGAGGGGACTGAGCAAGTTGACCAGTTAATTAGATTACACAGAGTACTGGGGATTGTGCTTTATAGTGGGTGCATCTACATGTCCCTCTGACTGTGCAGTTGGTACTGTACAGTATCATGACTGCGCAGTACCTGCAATCCCAGTGGACCACAGGTTGTTTTCGACCCTGCTACACAGTAGCATACTCTCCATTTCAAAACTGATGTGAAAATTTCATAGTAAAAAATTCTGAGGTCCTGGATCTTAATCCCCATGGATATAAATGCTTCAAGTTACAAATTTCTTTGCTGAGAAACTGTGGACTTATCAGAAGGACTACACTTGCCCTCTTTTGCATATACTGCATAAAAGGAAATTCTTCATTAAAATATTCCTTACCCCCTCTGTAAAAATCTGTAGACAATTTTGAAGGGTACATTTATAACAATTTAAAAAATCCCTAACAATTTTTTTTACCTATGCCTGTAATAACAGCCTAATAACAAGTGCAAAACTTTCTGTGATTGTATGTGCATGTCATGGTTTTCTTTTGCCTCTCTTTTTACTGAGTTCATTCTCTTTTTAGTGAGTTTTACTTTTGTTTATTTGTTCTTTCTACTGCAAAGCTCATGTTTCAGATACTGAAGGGGAATAAAATGACTGTTTTCTTTAAAATGACTTTACATTTTTAAATGGTGTTGGTAATTATGATTTTTTAAATAAAATTCAAATTAAAATTTGGGACCAAGTATCCCTTTACTTTGACCAATTTTTATCTACTCAGCAGATCTATATGTTTGCTGGGTTTATGCTGTTTGAAATACACTGGGACTTATCTATTAGCAGTTAAGGGACCCTGTCAAGTTTCCTTTTTTGGTGTCTGTCCTTGACCTGCTATGCTTTTGCCCTTCACTATTCCTAGGTGATCTCATCTGCAAACTTGACTATGAATACCACTATCATGGTGGTGCAGAAATCCCTCCACCTGCTCTTTATTGGTCTCTTCCTATAAAATCATAGTTGTTTGAAGGCTAGAAATCCAAGAAGCAATAAACACAAAAGTGGATCTGAACTTTGCAAGTTTACATGGTGTCATGGGATGGGGTCATCAAGGACGGCTGTGATCTCCTAAGGCCCCTTGACTGTGCCAGTCTGGCCCAATGGGCATCCTCAGTTCTTGCCCACCACATCTGGAAATATAAAAATAGGGAGGCTGCCTTTAAGTCCTCTTGGACATGGTTTGATGGATTCTCTGAACCCCATGGGTTCCTGGAGCCCTTGTAGGTCCCGTTTCATGATGAGTGGTTCGGGGGCACCCTAGCCTTATGGACTTTGTGTGTGGCTCCAACCTTGCAGATGGTATTGGGTTGTCTTGCCTAGACCTCATTATAATTTGGCCCCTTGTCCTCACTGGGGTCTCTGCAGCCCTGTCTCTGCGCCCTCTCTGGCGCCGAGGTCTGTGCCCCCCAAATGCCATGCCCTCTCTGGCACTGGGGTCCCCACATTGCAGTGGGCCCCCAATGAGGCCTCCTCCTTCCCCAGATAGCCTCACTCAAACCACCAGACTTATAAGATGGCAAACAAAACATAAGCCCTTGGGCTCTAACATAATACAAACTGCATAAGGTGTGCTTGGCCTCTTTACATTACCCAGAGCAGAACTTAGTCAGGCCTCTTCCCTTCACTTGCTCTAGGAGGGCTCCTTCTCCCTTGGCCACCAGCAGAGAACTGCCTCATAGGCCCCGTCCTGGGGTCTGTGCACCACCTCTGCCTGACCCCACATGCCAGGACTGGAGTTCTGAGACTCTGCACTGCTTCCACTGGCCCTGCGCACCAGGAATGAGCCCTGCGCTGCCCTGCACACCTAATCTAGTATGCACAGCCAGCCTGCAGGGCTCTTCTTATACACATGGGGAGCCTCTTGGGCTGGATGACCTGGTGCCGGGGCCTGGACCTGGATCTTGAGCCAGGGCTTAAGTACCCCTGATCTATACTATATCTATGCCAAAATCTAAAGCAAAGAGAAATGTTTTTAATTACTATACTTTCTCCTTCCACTTAGAATTGTTTTAAGAAAAAACCCCATTCCTCCAGTTTTCATCCCAAATACTGGAGAACTGAGATAAAGCCAAATTGACTAGTACTGACAAAAAGACATAGATTACTCTGTTTTCAATGTCCAAAGTGAATACAAAATGTAAGCAAGTCTAAAGAGTGAAACATAAATTATATTTTTAAAGATTAGTTCAGTTTTAGTAATGTGAGTGAGGTATTATAGGAATCATAGTAGAGAAAATAACTTATTTTAAAATATGTTAAACTGCCAGTGTTCCTGGCAGCTGTGCATGCAGTTTTATAATGAGCTATTTTCTTTCTGTAACTGGATTTTGCACGTAAATTTATGTCACTCAGTTTAGATACAAATTAAGAGAAACTAAATGAAGTACCTAGATTAACAAAGACATATACATATACAGTATGCTAAAATATTAGTAACTGGTGAACACTGCACTACAAGTGTTGGGATCATTGATATCCATCATGTCCCTTATTCTGGAAGATTACTTTTTACAATATGTCTAGCATTTGCCTCACACTTCATCTGCCTCCCCAACTCAGCTCTGGAACTCATATTCATTGCAACAGCTTTGAATTTACTTGCTATTTGGACAACTACAAAATCTTGTGGATGAGTGTGTGTGTGAATAACAGGTTGCCTTACTCTTAACAGGTTTTCTTAAAAACACCACATACTGTACAGATGTTTATATTTTTGATGCAAGGACCAGATGTTTTGGATACTTAGCTGTTTTATACCCTGAAAAAGTTATAGATGTTTTGCCAAACAGTTTACGTTTTTACTTACGGAGGATTACTCAGGACACAGTAAAATAAATATGCAACAATCTAATGTAAGAAAACTATTCCACTTGGGAGTAAATCATGGATTTAAGGCCAAGCCATTAAGCTAGTGTGTAGCCTGAGTGGCAAAGATGCATTGTTGGGGTCTTTCTAGGGAGAACAGTAAAGAATCTGGCCTCTGGGCAATGGACTAAGAGCTTTTGCTGCTGCAAGCTTCTGTACTCTTGTTTGTGCAGAAAAATTGGCCAAGCCTTGACCAGAAGACCACAGGAAGCAGAGAACTGAAGCATATGGGTGAACAGACCTCTAGCTTTTGTCTGTATCCTTTTCCTCTGTTGAAGGACACTAGGGTGTGCCACAACCAGGGAACAGAATTTGATCCTTAAGGCTGCTGAAAGGTGCCATATTCAAAATCCAGATCCCTGAAGTCCTCTACAACACAGAAATATTACGAGCTTCAGCAGAGCAGGCTGTCACCACCAGTAGGCCTCTGGCTTGACCCAGGATAAAGGATGGGTAGATCTGCACCTTATAGATTAACTAAATCAGATACTGAGAAAGCACATGCACAGAGCAGTGTATAAAATATAGACAGTTATTTGATTACAGAATTTAGGGCAGGGAGGGAGAGGACAGAAGGGAGGGGGCAGGGCTGGGAGAGGCAAACAAGCATCAACCCATAGGAACAAAGAAGTCACAAAAACTAATTCAGCTAATGGGATGAGAATCCATAGTGTCTGTTTAAACCTACTTAACACAATCCAATCTGTGGATGATTTCTTGTTCTGAAATTTTCGGTTCAAGTTGTTTTTTAAAGTTTTGCCGCCATAGCTATCTTTAAATAGTTGTCTTTTTCCAGGAGGAGTTGGAGGCCATTAATGATGTGTCTAAGCTGTTCAAGCTTGGGTCTGTAGGTGACAACAAAAGAAATTCTTGTGCCCTTGTCCCAGGGTTAGTATTGTAGCAGGTCAGAGCAAGGTCAGTTTGGCTTTGTTGATTTGAGTGGCTATAGTTTTGGGATTGTAATGTAATTGTAGGAATCCCTGCTCCAGCTCCTTAAAGCATGCATCATGGGTGGTGGGATCCAAGCAGATAAGTTATAACATAGAACTTGGCTGTAGGTGATGGAGTTTGTGGCGTGCTTAGGATGAAAGCTGGTGTCATGAAGGTAGCTGTGGCAGTCAGTTGGTTTCCAATACAGTGTGGTGGCAATGAGGCCATTCCAGACCTTCAGTGTCTAGGAATTGAATTTGCTGAATGGAGTATCCAGAATTAGTATGATGAAGGGATGGAAGTTGTTAAAGTCCTGGTGAAATTTCTCCAGACTAGAGATTCCTTCCCATGTGTCCAAACAATGAAGATGTCATAGATGTACTTAAGGTACATATGGGAATAGGATAGAGTCAACGTAGCCAGAAACTTCCCCTTTGATAGTGTCGATATCAGAGACAATGGGACATCCTGGGTTGCTGGGGTGACCACCTTTTTACCCTCATGACACCCATCCATACAGTCCTGGAACTTAGGGACACTCTGTTGAGAAACACTAAGCTAAAATTTAGCTGCATCTCTTCAGATGTGAAAAATCTTACTCTAGGATGCAAAACACCAGAAAGGAGGGCAAAATAAGAGCTAATTCCCTAGTGAGATGATTGTTTTTCCACCCTCTGCTATAGAAAATGAGTCAGAACAAGTTCATAGGACAAGAGTAAGTTCCAGGGATATGGAAGTAGAATATGTGAAACTTAACCAGTGATGATGATTGAGCAGTGATGATGAAACTATCTGTGCACCAGGTGTCAGTAGCCACCTAAAGGCAGAGACCAGCAGACAAGCAGTTGAGGAATGTGACAGAGTTGAGGTGTAAGTGGATACTTCTTAGGGGATTTTCTTTTTCGTGATCTGAAAGATCTTTGTTGAGTGATGAGCAGTTCTACAAGAAGTAGAGTCAATTAGTTCTTAGACCCTGTTCTGCTAGAGTGAGCTCTGCGGGTATAGGCAAGGTTTTCCCCACTCTTCTTTGCCTCCAAAATGGAGCTGGCTTGGAAGCTCACTTCACTGGAGACAGTGAATCTACACTGATAGCAGTTAGTTCGGGTTCTAGTCCTATCTCTGCCTGTGGCCATTGTCACATGTTTACCATGAAGGACTGGTGAGACTACCCTGTACAGCAAGAGTTAGTTTTTTAATTATCTAGAGCTTTGTATACTTTTCCAACTCTTCTAGACCTGAAAAACAAATTACTTGATATGGGGCATAAGACCTAGATTTCTCATGTGGCAATGCAGACATCTTGAACATTAAAAGATCTTCAGAAACCATAGTATACATCTGTCAGAACAAACCAGTTCCAGCATATGTATAATTTCATTTAGGTTTCCCTCCCCATCCCCTAAATTAATGTTTGTTAAGCTTTAAGACAAAGGAATCATTTGCATGCACTCACTTGCCAAAGAATATGGTTTAATCATATTATACCATTCAGGTCATGAAATCTGTCATCCTAGGAAATCTATGTATCCTAAGAGTCATTTCTGGAATTGAAAGATTTTCTGGGTATTTAGAAAAAAGCAGCTTAAAGAATTAGGGCCTTACTTTCAAAAGTATGCCCAGGCTTGTTGTGTAAGTCACTGGCTGCCTGTAGACATGCTCATTCACGGTCTAATTAGAACGCATTAGAGAAGACTTGATTCATCAAGTCTGTTCCATGTTCTAATTAGGACGCTCCAGCGTCCTCTCACTGTCACATGTATTAAGCCCCTGCACATTTCAAAATGGCTGCAGGGACACTTTATGTAAACCTTGTTGAATGAGCTTTTAGATAAAGTTTCCCATGGCCATTTGAAATGTTCAGGAGCTTAAGACACGTGACAGTGAGCCATTTTAATTAGAGTGGCTGTCTGGGAACCAGTCTAATCAAACCCCACCTCCTCACCCCTGCGCATGTGTATAGTTAGCCTTGATGTGCACATCAGAAATGCATGCTATGGATATTTCCAATCTCCAATTTGTATGTTCACATCTGCATATTTACTGAGTATAGGAAAAGTGAATGAAAGGATCACCCTAACAGGGAATTGAGAAGATAGCAAAGGCAAACTTCAGAAGTAGGTCACATTTATAGAAATTAAAATCAGCAAATTCATTTATCAGAAAAATGTCATTCCATTCTAGTCAATGTGTGTTTAATTTTGGTAAGATATGGGGGGAAAAAATCACAATTTAGTTTCTGCTGTTAACAAGACCTATGCTGACCATGTTTTCTCTTTTTCTAGATATTACTTTGCATTGAAATGTGGCTTCCAGGCTGCATTTAAACAAAGCAGCTGTGAAGATAAATTGTCTGGAAGTCCTACCAGTGACATTCATAAACAAGCCATTGATGCAGTGACTGATATTAGTATGCTCAGGGTATTTAAAATTTTCCTAGAAATGACATCCCAGCTCCTTCTGCAGATTTACATACTGGTGGAGGAAGACAAAACTAGTGTCATTCAGTGTAAGTCTCTCTCTCTCTCTCTCTCTCTCTCTCTCTCTAATCTGTAAGTTGAAAACGAAATCTCCACTAAGCAGTTAAGTCTTCGCTTTAACATGTTCCCAGTCAGATTCCAGTACGATTTTATTTAGTTAAATAATCTCCTCTATTGGCAAGTCTATTATTCTAAGACTTTTTAGAAACTTTAGAAAGAAATATAGTGTGTAACATTTAACAATAACATTATATTGTGTTTGAAAGTTAAAACCACTGAGGTAAGCAACTGAACTATTTCACTGCAGTCTACTTTGTTTTTGCTTGCTTAATATATTTACGTAAGCTACTTATATATTTTCAGTAACTGGACACCTCACAATCTATAATTTAATTACCATTTCAACACCACTGTAAGGAGAGGAGTATTACTATTGTCATTTTAAGATAGAGAACTGAGTCATAGAGGAGAATTGAATTGTTCAGAGTTATACAGGAAGTCTAAGGTAAAGAAAGGAATTGCACCTGAATCTCTCCAGTCCTAAACTAGTGCCTAAATCACTGAACCAATTGTTTCTTTCAAATGTAAAGAATATTTTAATAAAAATATTTGAATTGTTTTTCTTGACAGTAACATTTATTTTTATGTTTTATTTAGCTATTTCTATCATTACATCTTTCTGCAGTATTTCCTGGGCAACTGTTGACTATCAGGTATCATTATGAAAATCTCTGCCTGATAAAAATCAGCTTGGAGTCATTCCCAAGTTAATGTATTTCTTCTATAAACTGTTCACACTGACCTCATGGATACTTAGTGTTGCACTGACCACAGTGCTCAATTTCAAAAGTTCTTTAATTCTGTTAACTTTTCTTTGGATCTTGAGCTTCTGCTGGATTTTGAAACAACATACACTGTTTTGCAAATCTAAGAGGATGGAATATTTATACAGAATCATTGTTGGAATCATTCTAACTTTTACCTATTTTAACATTAAGGGAAAAAAGACAAAGGTTGATATTTCTGTTTATTATACTGTTCGTGTGCTTTTAACTTTAGTTATATTGTACATATGTTTGGTTTGGAAGCCTTTGTTTATCAATCAAATACATTCTAAAGCTGTGAGCATCATAATTGTCTTCACTCTAGTGTTAGGTATTATTTTTCTTGTTGTTTATTTTTCACCCCCCTGTTTATGGCAAACAAGATAGAGCTTCAGATGAAGCTGATGGAATGTCAGGAGAAAAAGCTGTAGTCAGTAGAATTACCAGTTTCATAATGCAATGAACAGCATGGAATTATGCGACTTCTTAAAATATTTGCAAATCAAAGCAATATGGACTGGACTGTCCATTATTCACTTATTCTGTCATTATTCTCATACTTTTAGTAAACATTTCCAGTAAATAATTTCTGATGAGACTGCTAACAGTCATCAGTTATGAATTATTATTGGTTCTCTTGTGTGACTATACCAAGCAAAGCCTCTATACAATGAACACTTGTTAGTCAAAATGAACAGTCTAACTTACCTCCCACCCAAACATCCTATTTTATTTTCTTATAATTCATTGGAAAAGTAGGAAAAATAAAACAGCAGCAAGTTACTGTTCCTATTAAGAACAAATTCTGTTTATTTTTTAGATTCAATTTTAGTCAAGGCTCACATGACTTTTCACCAGAGAGAAGGACTGAGCTTTCTCTGAAATGGCCAATGGTTATCATCTATCATCTCTGCCTACAGAGGGCAGGATTCCTGCCCACTTGGCCATGTGCAAGAAGTATGTATGTTCACTGGGTGAGGGAAGTTGCAAATCCTGAAACCCTTTCCTGGATTGTTCTCTCTGGTAGAATGATTGTACTTGATGACCTCAGAGGAATCTTGCCAGAAGGAACAACTGGAGAGCTGTGCTCCATTGTTGTATCTTCCAGCTACTCTAATAACAATGCCACCTTGTCTCCTTTGTCACTGCTGTGTCATCCCCTCCTATACCTTCATGGTGGATTTTGGTATACCAGTGTTCTGAATGGCTTATGAATGGAGAATGGAGGCTCATATAGGGGAATGAATGCCTGGCTTGAAGTTTTTGTCTTCATCTGATTTTAGGTCTAACCCTTAAGAGCTGGTCTCTGCACAGGGAAGTCTAGAGTCCTGGTATACAGGAATATGGCCTTTGTCACTAGACAAAAGAAAAGTCACCCTGACATACTGTTGCTGTTGGGCTATCTGCTTACAGAAAACAAAGTGAAATTGGGAAATTTCTCAGTTCAGGTTTTGAAGTGTGAAATAAAAAAAATACTATACAAGGAACAGAATTTAATAGCTGAGGTTTTTCTTGAATAAAATTGAGGGCAGGGGATTGCTCAGAGTTTTAAATCTGGATTGGAAAGACTGAGCATCCTGTTTAGGACTCCATCTAGTCCTTGCTTCCTTGGCTTTCTCCTTTCTGGTCCTTCATTCATGAAGATTCACAAATACAGTTAGGGTCTAAACAGATGTTGCCAAATGAAACAGATGAGCTCTGCCAGGATTTGTTTTAGCGCAGCTGCTCTACTTCACTGGGCAAATCAGATGTCATCTGTCGTTCCACAGTGTCAGACCCCTGTTGCTCCCGCTCCTGCAGGACACTTGCGGTGCACCTCTGCAAATGGGAAAACCCCACTTGCAGAGGTGTACCCAGGATTTCTGACATGGGGCATGCATCTGCAAATGAAGAAACCTGGGCAGGCACATCAGGGGCCCAATCACTGTGCCCCAGAAATTCACTTGCTGGAAATTTTTCCTGTTTTCCTCCTACAGAGGATATTTTTTAAAGGAGCTGTTGGTTTCTTGAAAGGGGTGCATTATCAATGTTCTTGTTTCCTTGTTTCTGTGTCTCCTCCTCTATCTTTGTTCTGATGTAGCAAACAAAAAAAAAAAACAAACCCAAACAAAACAAAACCCAAAATTTTACCCAACTGTAAAGTTCAAATAGATATTACATATGCCCCTTTCCTGTTGGACAGCTCGTAAAATTCATGTGTCAGTCAGTTCTTGCTTTGTACCTGACCTTGTCATTTTAATCTAACTGCAAACTGAAAACAAATGGTTTTTTTTTGTTAAATACAGCCATGACATCTTGCAACAAGTATTTTAATAAGTTAAATAAAAAATAATAAACAATTTCTTCCTGTTTTGACTACTGTCAGACCTGAGCAAGAGGGAGAGAATTCTATAGAATTGTTTTTAATTATCCTACTAGTATCCAGTGTGACATCTGATGGCATGGGTGAGCTCACCTGATGGACCACAGATAGCACTGATTTATGAAGCCATAATTGGGTTTCCAATAAACATTTGTCAAAATAATGTATTAATTCAAACCAAAGCCTTCTTTATTTATTCATATAAAAGAGCACTTAACTTTCAACAAAGAATTGCCTGCCATCAAAAACACTCTATAAACAGAGAAAATTTATGAAGACAGTACCACAGGGTGATCACTGGAATACTAAAGTTCACTTTAACTCTGAGTTCGGGGCATGCACATAACTTAAGGCTAGCCAAAACATTTTCAGACTTATATTTCTCTCAACCTAGTCACCCTTTATGTATTCTTTTGAAGCAAACTTGAAAATGTTGGACTTTATACAGCATAATGCAGTTTGACTTAACTCCGGCAAATGCATGGAACCATGTGCTCATTCAGACTAACACCCCCTACCACCACCATTCTAACTATTTTTTCCATTTTGTAATTCTTGGCAATCTTGCAAGCGTTTATACAGAAGCATGCTTGCCCCAGGCTACCATTTGTTGAGAGGACTAAATGACCGAAGGCTTCATTTAAGGCACACTTCCATACAAAGACACCTGTCATACATAGGGAGCCACCACAAGTTTTCATCCACCTTTAGGAAAACTTATCAACACTGCTCAGTCTAGTTCTATTTTACGGATTTGTATTAAATGCAGAGCAAAACAGGCAGACTAATCAGTCAAATTTTAAATGGAATTCAAGATGGTCCCTAGAGGATATGTCTTCACTAGAGGAAGGGTGTACAGTGTATTTGCTAACTTGGTAAATAACATAAGGTAAAATCCTGATGAAGAATATGAAATTATAGTTTCCACATTTTTTGGTCTATCAAAGTGCAGACTAAAAATCCTAAGCCTAATCTGTTACCTCATGTTAAAACCGCAAACTGGATCATCACTAGAGTTCTACCTTTTAGTTAGTTCCCACATGTTAAATTAATATTGTAAAAAATATGAAGAGAAAGCCATAGATGGGTAAAACTAATGAGAAAGAAAAGAAGGAGTTGCAATCAAGCATTTCTGCTCTAAAAACTTCAATTTTATAGTTCTAGAAAAATCTAAATATAGTCCTATCACTTCTAGCATTGTTATTTATTTCCGTATTATCCACAGCATACTCAGCAATTTACAGATGAGTAGAACAACACTATGTAAAACAAATTATACAGGAGAACAAACTGAGATGCAACAAACATTTAAGTGACAGAGCAATGATATTTAGTGAGCATCAGGTTCATTTAAAATTTTAAAATTATTGTCTGCCTAGGGCAGTAATATGTCCAGGACTTACAGACTTGGAAAAATATGTTGCAGTAGTTGCTCATCCAGGGTGTTAAGCAGCCACTAAGAACCAAGTGCTGAGTGTCTTCAACTCCTCTTCATGGACTGGGCCATTCATGATAGTTGTGATGGAGGTGAGGATGGAGACAAAGTGGACTGCATCAGTGTTGGATAAGTAGCTGTAGGACAATTCTTGGAGAAGGAGGTACAGAGATATAAAGAAGACTGAGATGAATATGGCAGGGATAGCAGCCACCTTCTGTATCTTCCTAGTCTACAGATACAGTCCACACAGTTTGTGAAGGACAAACTCACCAACTTCTAAAGGATTTGCTTTCTCAAGGTTATCACTAAGATGATCAGCTTCAACCATCTTCTCCAAGTCTCTTCTTAGATTTTTGTTTACATGATTATTCAGACCACACCTTAACTCTCTCTAGAAAACTACTCACCTCCCTTATATTCAAAGAGAGTAATGAGTCACCTGCCTCACTCATTCTCAACAAAATTCATTCAATTGTCTCCTAGCGGGGTCAACATCTGTTAATGATGTGGGACATTTCCAGAAAACATAGCTGGCTTTTTCCAAAATTTTTATACATGAAAGTTGTGCCACCCTGAGTTTTGCCAGTTAACAACAAATGGCACTACCATGTTTACAGAATATACGCACCAGGTCTTTATGTTACCATCATCCTCACTATACATGATTATGTTGGCTGAAGCCCAAGTGCATTATTGGTAAACACTGCAGCTTGCCCATGCCATCTCTTGATGAAGACAAAAGGCAACACAGGATATTTTTTGCAGTGCATTGAGGCATGTAGGAGTTCAGGTCAACAGTCCCACAAGTCCCATTTCTCCAAGCCATAATTTTTGGGATTGTTTTGAAATCCCATAGTTTCTTACATTTCTCTTTCTAACATTAATACAGATCCCTTGCAGGTCAGAGTTCTCCTGTTTTACTGACAGGCTGTGTGATTTTTTTTCTATTTTTAGATTTTAAGTGACTACTGTTACAATGTAGACTGGTGATGCAGGGAAGATGACATAGGACTTCTCGGCTAGGGCCAGGTTTTCTGTTTCCCACGGAAAAACAGAGAAAATCATGGATTCCCTGTTTTTATTGGAGAAAATGCAGATTTCCCTTTTCAACAGAGGAATCCACAGATTCTCCGCTTTTGCAAAGAGCTCCTGCAGGCTGGCACAGCTCCAGCCTGCAAGAGCCAATAGCAGAAAGGGTGGGAAACCCCCAGCCCTGCCCCAAGGGAGAAGGAGAGGGGGAAGGGTGGGGCCTGAGCCTCTGAGTCAGCCAAGGCTGGGCTCGGGGCCAGACTCGCCCTTTGCCCCTGGAGCCTAGAGGTAAGTGGGGCTGTGGGGCAGGGCTGGGGAAGATGGTTGGGGGTTGAGGGAGCGGGGGGTGCTGCCGGCCCCAGGCAGCACACCACAGCCGGGAGCAGGGCCAGGGAGCAAGGGCAGGGGTGCCTCTCTGCAGGGGGCTTTGTGGGCAAGCAATAAGGGGTGTGGTGTGGTGGTGCCCACTACGCATGGGTCGCACACATGCTGCCCAGCTGCCTGCAAAGGGGAGGGAGAGGGAGACTAGCATGTGGCCGGCTGCACAGCTCTGTGACCGGCTCTGTAGTGGCAGTGAGGGATGGTGGCTGGGGGGCTCACTCACGGTGGCCACTGCCGCTTACCTGGAGGGCCATGCCAGCGGTGATGGCTGGTGCGTACAAAGCCTCCTGCTGCTGTTGCAGAGCAGTGTTCGGAGCTGTGCAAGCCCCCTATTCCACCCCTGGTGAGGCGGCATGTATATGGCCTGCACACGGTGGTTGCCACTA